AATATGTAATAAGAGAAAAGCAAGAAAAATTATAGCAATTAGGAACAGTTAACGCTTCCTTTTACAGTTATAATTTAATTATTTGCATAGCTTACGGCGAATCTGATGGATTATCTTCGTTCACATACGCATTCAGTAATTCACGGTTACAGCCGAAAACATCGCGGCAAAAACATCGCAGACGAAAACGTCGCGGAGAAAACAACGCAAGGCGAAAACGTCGTGCTACAAAACATCGTGGGAGAAAACATCGCAAAGAGAAAGCATCGCAGTTCTAAAACATCGTGGTACAAAACATCGTCGTCGAAAATAAAGTGGTTCAAAAACTTCACAGTTTAAAAACATCGTCGTCGAAAATATCGTGGTAAAAAATAAAGTATCTACAAATTATCGCATGACGATAACATCGCAAACATGCTTTTTTCAGGCTTTAATAACTATACATAGATATTCCCGTAATAATTTGTGAGCACCAGATGGAAAGAAGGATAATTTTTACTTTCATATTTTTTATTAATCAATAAATTTTTGCTGAGAAAATAAAAAAGAAACTTAAGCATAGAAAATTAATACAACTTATAGCACTTAATAGAATTTTAAACCGACATAGTTAACTAACAAAGGCCAATAAATAATTTTTTTGTAAAGTTTTCACTGGTAAAATTTTTATGAAAAGTATAATCTATAAGTTGCATTTAGTTTTCTATGCTTAAGTTTCCTTCTTACTTTTTCAGCAAAAATTTATTAGTTAATAAAAAAATGTGAAAGTAAAAATTATCCTTCTTTACATCTTGCGCTCACAAATCATTATGGGAATATCCATTTACAATTATTAAAACCTGAAAAAAGCATATCTGCGATGTTATCGTCATGCGATGATTTGTAGATACTTTATTTTTTACCACGATATTTTCGACGACGATGTTTTTAAACTGCTTTATTTTCGACGACGATATTTTGTACCGCGATGTTTTAGAACTGCGATGTTTTCTCTTTGCGATGTTTTCTCTCACGATGTTTTGTAGCACGACGTTTTCGCCTTGCGTTGTTTTCTCCGCGACGTTTTCGTCCGCGATGTTTTTGCTGCGATGTTATCGGCGGACACCGTAATTCACACATACACACACGCTCGTTCACTCAGATGTATATGTTACCGTAAAATTCCGAAATTGGAGAATGTCGACTTTCACCGGAGAATATCAACATTCACCAAATACGTCGGTGAAAGACCGAATATTTTACTACGTTCTTGTATATTCGGACCCTCACCGATGTATGTCGACAATCCAGATATGCTCTGGTGAAAGTCGAAAAGAGAGGTCATAAAGTGCCATAATAGTTTAAGTTGTTGCAATAAATAAGATTTGAATCACATAATTTAGTAAGTTTTTTTATTACTGTTATTTTATTTTCTCATTTAGAACGTACTGTATAATTAAGTGCGTTTATTCGCGACTGAATGACGGAGAAGAAAATTTAATATTGTTATATATTTAACATTCACCATTAGTATATGGTGAATGTCGACATTGACCGGTGTAAGTCAGAAATAAGAGTATTTGGAAAATATTTCGGACATACACCAAGAGACTATGTGAATGTTGATATTCACCGGTGAAAGTCGACATTTTCCAGATTTCGGTGTTTCACCGTAACATATACATATATGAGGTGAATAGCAAAGTTTGTCTCTGTCTAAATAATTGATGAATTAGCTGCAGCTTTAAATATAATGTCTGATTACAATGAAACGATAGTGACCTACAAAATAAGACCCGTTTACACATCCTTACAGATGAAAACCATAATTAGCAGTTGAATCTAAAGAATTATAAGTGCTACGAAACGAAGTCAGTTGTAAATTTGTAAAGCATTATTGATTTAGTTTGAATAGATATATTGAGAATACTGATACGATAAATAATTGAAAATACGGTAAATAATCTGAAACCAATGTACGATATTTTGTTGCAACATCTGAAGAGTGAAGATGCATACATGAGCCCAAAAAGAACATAACAGATAAGCAGCATGCATTGTGCCATTACAGCTTGATGACAACTAATGAAACCACCATTGCTTCAAGGATTCTTCACAAAATTCACATTGCGTCAGAAAATGGTTCACATTATTTCAAGTTTATTTCGAGTATGCTCAAAGAAGTTATCTTTGGGCACAGTACATACTTGTATTCGATAAAATAGCTCTGAATACACATTCAGCAGACGGAAATGGTTATATCACTCCAGCTATCACTGATATTCTCAGATGTTGCAGACTCAGGAGATCAGCATATGATGTCGTACATAGTACTTGATCTTTTAGGTAAACAGACTGAAAAAAAGCCACTGGAGATTGCAATGATCGTGGAGGCCATTCAACAGTGCTACCATAGCCAATAACCTGTTCTTCTAACTCAACTTCCAGAAAGCATGAGTTGCCGTATTTGGTCCTCTGGGGTACCGTCATGTTGAAACCCCAAGGAAAATAATGTGGAAGGATGAATATCATCTAAACGTTTTGGTAAAGTTTTTGTGAAAACATGGAAGTATCTCTATCCAGTCCTCGTAGTCTACAAATCCCACTAAGCCGTTCTTACAAATACCACATTAGGCGTTAAAGGAGCAGCTCATTTGATATCTGGTTACGTGTCCTTGTGAATAACTGTCCACACTCCAATAATAATTGTTATGTAGGTTTAGCGGTTTGTCTCATTGGAATACCACCTTTTCCGACCACAGGAGATTGGAAAAAAATCCGAGTCATTCTCGACTTTGTTGGCATTTTTTCGAATGTTTCCTTTTACTCGAATTTTCCTTTTGAATATTTTAATTATTACTTTTAGAATACTCCTAGTTGCAGCCACACAGCCATACTATAATCTTTTTCTCTACGCCTTTCTTTTTTCCTTTGTCATTTTTCCTTTTCGCCTTTCTGAAGTATAATACCAAGATGCTGATTTCACGGCTAACGCCTTAAAAGGTAACATTAAAACAGTTCACAGAATTCAAATCATAAAATTAGATTATAATAATAAGGCTTATAATATCATCTGAACTGTATTAATTCAAGCTTAAAATTCACAATTTTAAGCGTAAAAAATTAGCATTTTATCTGCATTCCAAAATAAAGTTTTAAAACTTAGGATTCCATTTTAAATTACTTTACAAATCGTTGCCATCAACAGATTAGAAATAAAGAATAAATAAATTAAACATATTGTTATTTTACGATGTTTTCTGATACTGAATGAGTATTACTGTTTGTTAACATTTTGTATAAATTTTGTGATTAAACATGTCTGAAGAGAAAAAAATTAAATAAAAATTTCAAGCCTTTTTTACAACTCCAAGCAGTAACAGGTTTTACAGGTGAAGATATCTGGAGCAAATCATTCGGTTACTTTCATTAATTTACATTGCATATATAAATAGTATAGAGACTACAAAAATAAGCACGGCACACCCCCTCGCCTTTTCTAACATAAGAGGTTTCTATATTATTCTCTAGAAATACACTAGATTATTTTCTGTAAATGCCTTACAGGGGATTTTAGCTCTTTACATCTCATTAGGTGTTTTACAGACTTTCAAAATTTTGTTACATTTCTTCTGTATTAGATTTCTTCCAATTTCATTTCCTTGCCTTCTGAATAAATAATTAAAGTGATAAGTCATTTAAATGCCAGTTTTATGTTTACTCTGAAGAAGTCACTTTTATATAAGCACAAAATAATCTGTTTGCTTTTATATACGCACAATAAAAGTATATTCATTAATTGTAAAGTAAAATTCTATTATGTATTACATAAAGACATTAATGCTAATAATTGCATTCATTTTATGTTTTCACTTTCAGTGCAATAACAGAGTAAACAACTATCCATCAATACACAAGTTGTGTAAGACTAGTTCTTTTCGCTATCATAAAATATACTTAGACTTACTTAAGAGTGAATCCTTTCGAGTTCTCGCACAGAATTGAAGATAAACAGAACCAGGAGAAGTGTGTAAAATACCCTTTTATTGAACACAATATAATTTACAGACTGCAAAAACTTAAGTGCTTATAAACGCCAACCACTTGCGATGAGAACATAAAAGATACGTAATACTAAATTTAAAGATACGAGTAGTACAATTCAATTTAGTCTAACAGGATAACTTAGACCTACGCCGGCAGGATAATAATTCGTCAGCAAGAATGCGCAGCCGATATTTAAGGTTAACGGCTGGAAAAAAATAGCAACGTTGGCTTACAATAGCGAAATCACGCTTTGGCTAAACTTTTCTCTTCAACAGTTTAAATACATTCTCGTTCAACCTAATTAATTTATTAATTAGGAAAACGCGAGAGAAATCGGAAGGGATAGAACAGGCTAGCAAAATAAAGTAACTATTATATAAGATAATGGAACTCACAGCTGTAGAAGTTGCACAAGGATATATTCTTATTTTTTACCTAAATATTTCCCTCAGTCTTTAAAGAAATCCTTATTAATTGCAAATTTATGAATTAAAATCTGTTGAAAGAAAAGTGTAAATTTAGAGAAGACGCCTTTGAATTGTCTGGGCAAGTATTTACAATATCCAAAAGGCATCCTTGTATAAAAGTTTGATTTTAATCAATATTAAACACGCACAGTGGTAAAGAATAATGAAATTTTAATTTTAAATCTGATGATCGCGAATAGTTTGAGAATATATCCAGATATGGTCTAAAAGAAGAAGATTATTTCCCTAAAACCTTCTGAGAACTTTCTCTGAAAGCTAGATTTATTTCTTTAGTAGCATCTGGAAATTTTCTCTCACGTGTGACGAACATACATTAATACCGTTGACTTTTAGCGCGGATGAACTTCATGTGCAATCCACATCAAGTTTGGTCTCTTCCGTTATCAGAAAGAACAACATGAAAGTATGTCTTTCAATATCCCGATCCCAAAAGCAAAAGAACTATGGATGGAAAGACACAGGAAAATGGAAAAACATCATAGTTACCTCCATTCTTCCAGTACCGGACGTGATATTTCAGGACAGGACTGTTTCTGGGCAGAGGGGGCTGCCAGGAGACACGGGTGGAACGGCTCGTGATTTCCGTGATCCTCACTCCCCTCGGCGATGAGGACGGCTCTAGAGCGAAAAATAGAAAGGAATCTTATTATTGGATAGGAGGGAGGAAGAATGTCGTGTTTACCCGGATGGATAAAGCATCGTCTCTTGTCCACTCGTCTGTTTGCTGTCACGCGAGGAATGGGAATCGAAATGGAATGACTGATAAAGATATTGCCAGAAATGTTGGGAACGATTTATCGAAAAGGCGGGAATTGAGGGAAGAAATTTTTCCACCTCTTTCAAAATGTCTTACAGTATTATTTGTTTTGATGGGTTGTTTTTTATTATTTACGTCAGTTTAGTTGAAAAATGTTTCATTGCATGTGAAGATGTTCAAACGTCAATCTATTTCCCTGGATTTATAAAAGTCAATTTATTTCCCTGTATTCCCAATTTATTTTTCTAATATATATCTTTTTCAATATATTTAATCTTATGACACAGCGGACGAATTCCTTTACAAGGTAATTCTGCTGTTCACAACATTCACGTCTAACATAATCTTGCACACTGGAAATTTGAAAATAAAAGTTTCTCATCCTACGTTTTAATCTGCTTGTTTGACTTCTACTGATTTCTGGCGTTTTTCGCAAATTCCTACAAACAGAATTTAAAGATAAAAACGATGTCGCCAGAATAATTTAGAACGAGCCAGACAACTCAGGAAAGATGACGTTTTCCAAATATTAAGAAAAGTTTGAAAACATGCGTTAAGATTAACAGTTATTAAATTTCAAACTTTGAATAAATGCCATAAAATGATTTTCATTCAAAGCCTTATTTTTGAGGTCGTTTCCTCATTATTTTAGCATTTAAAAAAAATTTTGTTATTTCAAAGGGTTCGTTAGTTTTATTATTTTAAGAGGTATGAATATATAACCTTTCAAAAGAAAAAAAAAACTGCTTACTGAACTAAAACTAAAATTAATTTAAACTAAAATTAATGAAATTTAAACTAAAATTAATTTACATTCTGATGAAGACAGACGGAAGAAATAAACCGTACAGAAAAGAATTAAGATAAAAATAGCGTGTTAGCTAGAGTGTTATATAACTTTTGCTAATGTTACTATAGCAAAACCGAAGCAAAACTTACAAGAATATGTTTTAATTAAATTAATTGATTTTGAAATATAATTAATGTCAAAGAATGATCACCTAAAACATCCAGAGTGATCTCAGCTCTGTGCTCCCCATAGTCATTTCTTGCGATGCAGTAGTACGTTCCCCCGTCAGCTTGTTGACTATCCCTCACCAAGAGTTCAAATGTGTACTGTTCTTGCTTCGAATATGCCGAAGTACCACTACGTCTTTGATTTCCTTCGAATCTGAAGATATAAAAAAATACATTGTTCTAACATTATGCTTCCGTGTTAGACAAATATGTTGTATAGTATACAATAGTATGCAACTTTTATGACTTGAGTATAGTATGTATAATAGTACTTTTATGACTATTATATATGAATATGACAGCACAAGACAAAAATTTGAAAAAAAAAATGGCATTTGGAAGGAGTTTTATTTTATTAAAACGATACTTTAATTATTTATAAAAATATGTTTATATTATTTAAAGAAACGTATTAACACTATCTATAAAAGCTATTTGCTGACTTATTTCATCTGCTAACTTTATTCTGAGTAAAAATAAATATATTAAACTGATAAAATAAAACTAAATGCTTCAATTTCATAAATAAAGTAAAGTATTTGTCACAAGCAAACAACCAGAAGTTTAAAATGCATTATATTCTACTTAGAATTTGCATTAAATATTACGTAGTTAAAATTAAATACAATTTGAATTCCTATAAAAGTGTGCCTTGAATCTGGACGTGTAAAGAATCACACATCCCATACTGTTTGTGCGCTTGTAATTAGTAAGGCATCAGTTTACATTTTTCAAAATTCTATCGAAACTGATGCTCGTACATTAGTAAGGCAAGTACAAGTGACGGGTGACGTGGGCACTGTGCCTCTACCAGTTGCATACAGGAGTACTCGGGGTTGTCTAGCTTGTGATAAGGTCGTACGTTTCTCTTTCCGTACTTCTTTTCGACTGTTGTTTGCGTGTGGCCTACGAGCTTAAGTTGGAGGGGGAAAAAACTGAAGTCTGTTTTTGAAGTTCACCGCTGGTTGTTGTTCTTCAGGACGAGATTTTAACTCACAGGTTTTTCTTATAGTTTCAGTAAATACTCAGCAACCTTCGGCAGTAAATACTCAGAAACCTTCGGCAGCAAATACTCAGAATATTAAAGGATGGGTGAAAAGCGAGGAATGCGAGCGTTGGAATTATGGTACCATCGTGTGACCGATGGGTACAGGAATGTCCGAGTAAATGACATGTCTAGTTCCTGGAAAGATGGTCTAGCTTTCTTTCCCTTGATTCCTTATTTTCGACCTTATCTCATAGACCTCGAATCACTGTGTAAAGAGATTATGTTCTATAACAATGCTTTTTCAAGTAGCTGAAGAAAGTAGCATTTCAAGTAGCTGAAGAAAGAATGGGCATTCCTGGCAAGAATGGGCATCAGTACAGCACCACGTCCACCATTAACTAGAACAGTCCCAGATGTCAAAAGGGGGGCGCACACTGGTGCCTCGCCGATTTAGTATGCATTGATTACATTTATGAATATAGTGTCTTATACATCGTTCAAGATACATATCACAAGATTTCCTACGGTGACCTTGATAAAAATTATAATTACCCGCACAAATTATAGTTACATATATTGTTACATTGAATAATACTTTGACAATATATGACTTGCTTAAAAATATACCTTGAAGTACGTTTAAAATATACATAAAAATATGAACACTGAATATTGGGATATGCGTGATACAACACTGATTATATACATTACATATATATGCAATAGCTACTTAATATAATACAGGGTAAATATATAACATTATGCAGTTCAAGATACATTAGCACATAGTAGAGAATACAGTACTCGTCGCAAAATGTTATCATCATAGTGATTTGTCTTGGATATATAAAATCACCTATAACTTGGATTACACTAACATTACACATGCATAGATAAGTAAAGAAAATACTGATACATGGATAAATAAATATGGTACATTAAATGCATGTTGGAGACGCATTATGTATTAAATATATAGTACATCCAGACGTTACACTAACTGGGGTAATTAAATTAATTCATAAACATGATTGAGTAAACACGCATACTTAGAAACATATAATGAAGGCTATAATGGTTTGACTTGGATAAATAAGATTACCTATATTAGATATACATACAGGAGTATACATTTGCATAAATAAGTGCGTACACATACGTTCGATACACATTGAATATGCATTGCGCATTGAGTGTATTATATATAGCCTAGGTTAGTAAGTTAGTACACACGTTGCGCATTGATAAACGTTACACATGAAATTATTATAAAGAGTTGACTTAGATATGCATAGTCATCTATTAGATACACATTACACATACTGGGGTAGATAAATAAATACATATGTATGGATATATAGGTACACACACATTGGGTACGCATTGAATAATAATTGAAGATTTGACTTAAATAAATGAGGTCACCTACATTGGAAACACATTACATATGCAGAGGTAGATAGATAAAAACATATACATGGGTGAGTAATTACACATACTTTATTAAATACACATACACGTTTAGATACACATTGTGTATAGGTACACAATGAATTTGCATTGCGTATTGAATATGTTATATACAGCCTGTGTATTGAGTATATTATATACAGCTTATTGAGTATATCCTGTACATGGGATACACATTACACATACAGGGGTACATTAATAAGGCTTCGATAGAAATGTAATAATGACCAACAAGGATGTAAAATTTTCTTTGGCATGAAATATATTATTTGCTGAATTGTAACAGCTCTAATCTTTGAAAGGAATTCATTATACATGATAAAATAAAGAATATGCCTTTGATGATAAATTATTCAAATGATTATTCATGTTTCCAAAACCTAATTAATTCTGCATGAAAGATAATTTTAATCAACGCCGCAGATTTCCTTTTCTTCTTAGCTTCGGCAATACTAAAACTAGTGAAAACGCGAGACTCGAAAATCTCTTTCTTCCTTTAATGATTTAAGTCAGTATGAAAGATTATTAACATCAATGATTCTCATTAAGCATACCTGGCGAAATTCTCTAAGAGGATATTCATTCGTTTACTTATATCTGATGAAGGACAGTTTACTGCGAAATTAATGTTAAAAATCATTATTTTAGGGTTTAAGAAGTTTTGTAAGTTATTATAAATTTTAATGATACAAGTTCTCGGAGGAAAGAAAAATACATTTTGAGTCGAAGGAACGTGAGTAACGCACTTTTTATAAGAAGAATCTTTTACTGTCTAAATTGCAAATGATTCAAAACTGTTACTTAAAATTTATATGCAAGAAGGGTTTAATAAGTATGGATGTCCAACCAAAGGAATACGTATGTTTGTATTTCATTGTATGTATTCTTATTAGATGAGGTATTTATATATTCGAAAGAGATCAAGCGAAGTCTTTGAGCGTCTTGGCTACTACTCATAACGTCTGCTAAATACGTGATATTAATTCTAAAGGAACCTGGAAATTGAAACTTTAAGTACTTTTAGCAAATAAATAAGCTAACTAGTTTTTATTTAAATTCTGACATCCTTTGCTCCCCTTTAAGAGTGTGCAAATTTAGTTATCATTTAAAATGTCTCAACGGCTTTTATCATATAACTATAATACAGTTAGTAGAGAAATAAGTGAAACTGTGAGAGTTCTTGCAACCTTTCGTACCTTCGTTTGCCTTGAATGTACATTTATATACTATTCAAGAATTAACATTTTCCCTTTAGCTAAAAAATAAGGATTTTTGGACGGCAGGAAACTAGAAGGATCGGCCTATATGATGTCCAGATCTTTCGATTGCCAGCCAGACATTTTTTTAGTTACATCTCGAAAGCGCCCATCGGAAGGAAGTGGAATATTCATCATGCACTCTCGCATATAAAAAAATGAATAAGGAGCGAGCAAATCGAGTCGCCAAATGTACTTATCGCCTGTTCTATTTTCAGCCAATTGTACTGTTCCATATTACTCTAAATGCCAATTTGATACGTCTAAAATACCGTAAATACAAACCCAGATAAAAGTTTAAAATAAGCCTTTTTATTTACTGGTTAGCCTGGTGGTTGCATAAGCTATTCAACGATATAAAAGACACTACTTGCGAGATATCGTTGAAAAGATTTTTCAGGCAAACTAAAATATCAAGTATAAAGTTACTTGCGTTTAAATAAGCGTTGACTAAGGCCTCAAAATTTTAAGGATGTAATATGGCTAGCGAAGCTGGAGACGATAAAGCATTTCAGTAATACTGAGATCTAGGAAAGCTCCCAAAGTTTCTCTCTCGAACTTGAGAAAATAGTTCGCACCTTGGTTGGAGATAAAGACAGCGGAAGTGAAAATAAAGATAATAATCATGTAACGGGTTTATTTAACATAAAACCCTACACATTTAGCTAATTATCTGGAATATCAAATTTTTAAGGGCCAACCATTTCATAAAGCTTTAATTTTTATTTTGCTCAATTAAAATTTAAGTTTTCCTAAATGTTTCAAACTGGACTTTAGTAAGTCCGGAGATTTCGAAGTAGAATTACGTGAAGCATTTTTGTATTATATAAAATTAGATATCAATGCGATATTTAGCAAATTATTTGCAATTTTGTAACACAAATAAGGAGTTCCGTACAAGATGTCAAAAGCTGCACTGTAAGCAAATTTTTAAAACAGCTGTTAGAAAACTGCATGAATAAAATTAAATATATTCGCTGAACAAAATCTTTCTTTAAATTGATTGTTAAAACATTTGTTTTTCACATGATGACAGAGAAAATCTCGCCAAAAGTAAATGGAGAAAAATGTATTCTTTAAGATTTTTATCAGAAGAAAAAAGGGGATCAAATTTGAACAGATTTTAAATTCACTCAAAGATTTTCAGAACAAGGCAATTTTAAGAGTTATTTAAAGCGATCTAGACTTGCTTCGAAGGCTTCATGAAGCTGTGGTAGCGTGGCAATGAAAATGTTAATCACATGCTTCTTGAGTGGGTTTACTATGTCTAATAGAGAAAGATACTTGCCCACTTAAAAGACTTGTTTGTATCAATGATACAACCATGCAAAAATTAATATCATAAACAGTTATACAACATTCAGTCATATTCAAAAAATGAATATATTTTTATTGTGCCAATTACACATTATCTTTCCGCATCAGCTGAGTATTATTCCT